AAAAAAATGGTCTACTCCCTTTATTTTTATGTACAAAAGAAACTATTATATTTAATTTATTTTTATATAAATGAAATCACATCTTTTAATAAATATTTATTACATTTTTAAATTATTTTTTTATAATTCCATCATTCATAGTCATAAACAATAATCAATAAAAGTTTGATTAACACAATTAATAAAAAATATTTTAATTTAATTTTTTTATTTTCAAACATAATTAATATAGTTAATTAATTTTTTTAAACTATGTGGTATAATTTTATTTTTTTTTTACAAATAGAAACAGAGTATAAGGTAATTTTAAAAGCTCAATGAATAGACAAAAGAACTCATTATTTTCAATTTTGACAAATGGGAATCAATTCCCTAAAAATATGTTTAAGGATATTACATTCGTTAAAAAATATAAGATATTTTTAATTAAATTTTATCTCCAATAAAGTAATTACCTACTTTTTAATTAACTTTATCTTTTCATATTTATCCCTATTAAACACCCTATAATAAATATAAAATCATTATTAATAGGGATATTCTTGAAAAAAAAGATAATAATTATATCTCGAAAGATTAAAAATATATTATATTTTTTAATATTTAACTCTCAAAAATGATTTATATTTATGAATGAAGGGACTATTAAGAAAGTGATTTTGCTCAAACAAATTAAATCACATGCTTTTAAGGAAAAAAAATAGTCATAGAAAATATGGCTGAGACAACTCGCTCATCTCTACATCCTCTCCGTTTTTTTTTTTTCAACTGTTGGTTTCACATTAAAACCAACAAAAAAAAAGAGAAAAATGACAATAAATTTTTTTAAAAATATATAAATAATAATTTAATTTTTTAAATTTTATAATTTTTTAAAGTTTTTTAAAATTTTTCTATCGTTAATAAATTTATATAAATTATCAAACTAAAAATAAATAATTCATAATTTTTACTTAAATATTTATAATTTTTTTAGATTTGTAATACTGCAACAATAAATTATAATTTTATATGTTAAATTTTTTATTTACTATAATATTATTGTATATAAAAAGAAAGGTTGTGAATGTTTAAATAAAATTTATAATTCATTTATTTTTAATAAAAATAATTTAATAATTTATATAAATTAATTAATAATAAAAAATTTAAAAATTATGATGTTTTAAAAAATTAAATTATTATTTATATATTTTAATAATATTTTATTGTAATTTAAAAAAATCAGACGAGTAGTATTTTCAATAAAACGATTGCAAATAAATGAGCTTTTAGAACAAAAACTAAAACCCAGGTAAACAAAAATCACAACAGACTGAAAAAAGTACAACTGAAAGTGAAAACAAAAGGAGAGACAATAGTACTGACAACAATAAACAAGAGAACAGAAAAGGACGACATTGCTGAATTGTGGTCCCTACTAATTATAATTTTGTTACCTCTCGTGAAAGTAACAAGTAATCCACTCAAAAACTGACCTGGTCCCTTCATTTTTATCTTTTAAAAAAATTATTACTTTTAATTTATTTTTTTATATAAATAAAATTGTATTCCTTTCATTTAAAAAGTGTAAGAAATTTTTAAAAAATTAAATATTTAAAATTATAAGATATTTATAGTCTTTTAAAGTGTAATTATTATTTTTTTAAAAAATATTTTCATTAATAATGACTTTATATTTATTGTAGCGTATTTAATAAGAATAAATATAAAAAGATAGAATTAATTAAAAAATATGTAATTACTTTATTGGGGAGATAAAATTTGATTAAAAATTCTTATATTTTTGAACGAAGAGAGTATCTTTTAATAAATATTTACTATAAATTTTTTAAGTTATTCTTTACAATTTCATCATTCTATAAAAAATAATTAATGAAATCTTAGTTAATACAATTAATGAATGGTGTTTTAATCTAATTTTTTATTTTAAATATAATTAATATAGTTAGTTAATTTTTTTTAAATTATGTGATATACACTTTTTTTTATAAATGAAAACGGAGTATAAGATAATTTTAAAAGCTAAATGAACGAATCAATTCCCTGAAAATATGCCGGAGGAGTAGGATGTGAAAAAGTGATTTTACTTAAGCAAATTGAATCACATGTTTTTAAGAAAAAAAATTATTCATAGAAAATATAGTTGAGACTACTTGCTCATCTCTATATCCTCTCCACTTTTTTTCTTTTTTTCAACCGTTGGTTTCACATTAAAAACAAATATATATATATATATATATATAGAAGTTTCTAAATTTTATTGGCCAAAAAATGTTCGTAGCAAATTAGATTTCATATGTAGTCATGTACTTGAAGAGTGTGAGTATGACACAAAATAATATGGCTATGAATAACACTCACAGCCATTTTAATTGCTTCCTTTATTTAAAAATGCAAGATATTTTTAATTAAATTTTATCATTTAATAAAATAGTTATTTATTTTTAAATTAATTATTTTTTTATATTTACTCCTATTAAACACTCTATAATAAATATAAAGTTATTCATCGGGCACTTAAAAAAAAAGATAATAGTTACATATCAAATGATTAAAAATGTCTCACATTTTTTAATATCCAACTCTTTAAAAAATGTCTTATAATTATGAATTGAGGAGTATTTCTTTTCTTTTTATATTTCTCCAAACGTATGCATATGTTTATTTTTGTGAATAAAAATGGTTCGAGTCATACATTAGAGAAAAACCATCAAGTCATATACTCCATCGAGTCCAAAATACTAAAGGAAAATTTCTATTAATTAGTGTTGACTCATAATAGAGGACACTTTGCAAAATATTAATGGCATTCAATTATTCTTTCCTACAAATACCCTTATTCATTGTATTGTAAAAGAGATTATATAAGAAAAAAATAAAGATAATCAAGATAGATTGATTTTATTTGAAGGGTAATCTTGGAAATTTCTGATAATATTTTTTTTTACCATTTTATATACTACTTTTAACAACTTTTCATAATTCCTGTAAAATTGCTTAAAATGTCATATATTTTGAATTTAAGAAAATATGTATATATAAAAGTTGAACAAAGTCATACTTTTCATTAAATTAGAAAAATAATCCACATACCCCAGATTTCATATATATATATATATATATATTCCTTCAATTCTATTTATAAATTATACTTTTTCTGATATTTTTTATAAGTTATATTTTAAAATTTTATTGTTTTTTATACCCTTTGATGCACAATTTCAACAATACCCTCCAGTAAATTCAAAAAAAAAAATTGTATTGTTTTAATTCCCAAGAGACCTCCTCAGTCCCCTCACATATCAAATTACTCTTTTTTTAAAAGTTAGGGGTAAAATTGAAAAGTGGATTAGTTTTATGGCAGCTTTATTATTCTAATTAATTTACTTTGATTTTGGCAAGTTAGGTAGAATTTAAAAGTGATTTATAAAAAAAATTAGAGAGGGTAAATTATTAATTAACTTTATCTAAAAATTTAATGAGTCATAAATTTAATTTCTATTAAATATATATATTTTAATAATATATTTTTTGTCTTTACTATTTAGTAGGAGTAAAAAAGAAAAATTTATAATAAAAATTTAATAATATATTTTATAAATAAGGAATTATTTTCCTGTTAGAACAGGGCTAAAGTGATGAAAAAACGCATGATTCATCTCAATTAAAAAGAATAAAATATGAAATAGGAAAAATAGTTGAGCATTAAGATGCACAACAATCTCAACCTGTCCTGATGAATTACGTGTGGTGGATGGGGAAGCTGCATTCAATTCCTATCTGCCAGTTGACTTGGCATCCTGTGATCCTCAAAATGGGCCTTCACAATTTTTTTTTTCTTTTTGATTAAGTGGGCCTTCACCAATTTATTATAACAGATACCTAACTTCTCAATTAATTTCTACCAAAAAGAAAACTTCTCAATTAATGTTTTAAAACTTTTATGTTGATGAACAAGTCGTTTTGTGAAGAATACTCAATTAAGTAGCTCTCCCCAACATAATGTTAAATACTGAATCGGAAAAAAAAAAGGTATTCTGTAAATAACAAAATATTTTTAATATATTACTCCCTTTATTAAAAAATATAAGGTATTTTTTAAAGAGTTAGATATTAAAAATGTAAGGTATTTTTAGTATTTTGAAATGTAATCATTATTTTTTTTAAAGTGTCCTTATTAATAAATAAATTTATATTTATTGTAAGATATTTAATAAAAATAAATATAAAAAGATAGAATTAATTTAAAAGTAGATAATTACTTTATTAGAAAATGAAATTCTCTTAAAAATATTTTATATTTTTAAATGAAGGAAGAAATTATTTTATATATTACTTAATTTTCAATAAATTTTAATATGCAAAGTGAAAGTGACGTTGGCTTTTGCTTTAACGTGTGTGTGTGTCAGAGTTTTTACTGTATGAATTGAAAGTCTATTTGAACTTAGTCAATTTACCTTTTATGTAGTCTTCTTTCAAAATTTATACCCCACACACTTTCTCTCTTTTTGTTCTATTTAAAAAGCATTTTCTTAATATTTAATAAAAGTTAAATGAAAAAATTTATGATAAAAATTTAATAAAATAAATTATAAATGAAAGAATTTTTTTTTGCCCAATAAATAAGATAAGAGTGTGTGTGTGTCTCAAGCTTAGAAGGTAAGTATACTGTCAAGTTTAGATTCAAACTCTCCCTATATAATTAAAAATAATATATATATATATATATATATATAACAGAAAAAAGATTATACTTAGGTGAGAAATCAATTTCAATATCAATCAATATAAAATTTAAAATTTATAACAAGTATTCTAATTAAGACTATAATATAACACACGAGCTTACTTAATTTTGAGTCTTTTTTTTTTTAGCATAAAAAAGGTTAAAAAATGCAAGTTGAATGGTTTTTTTTTTTTTGGCCTAAATGCAAGTTGAATTAAAATATCAGAAAGTGAAGATGAGAGTGGCTCGTTATAATCCTGTGGCTTTAAAAAGGGAAAAACTGGTTTTTGTTGCAGAACCAACTCGTCAAATTAATCCAAACCTCATACACAACCAAGAACACAGTGAGGACTTGAGATCCATGGATTACGAGTATATTCTGGGAGGAATCCTAGCTTCTGGTTTAGTGCTTGCGTTTCTTGTTGCATCAAAATTTTCAGAAAAGAGCAAGCTGGTCAAGAGTAGTTCATCATATGTACACGTGAAAACAAATGGTTTTGCAGAATCATCAAAAGATCCAGAGGTTGAAGACGATACTGATGTAATCATTGTGGGAGCTGGAGTTGCTGGTTCAGCTCTTGCTTATACACTTGGAAAGGTAGGATTAACGGCTGTGTTTTCATCAGAACTTTGCATAGATCTGTTCATATTCTGGATTTCATACTTCAAGTTTGTTCTCAATCACTCAAAGAGAAAAGAAAATTCTCGTATATGTTTTTCCTTCTTGTTTTCTCATCAATAATCAAACAAGAAACAATGGACATATTCGTGAAACCCATTATATTTCTTGACTTTTCTAATCTGATGGTTTTTACGATTTAGATCCATGTGAAGCAGAAGGAAAGAAAAAGGTTCTTGGTATTATATATTACAATTTTCTATATCATTTACTGCTCTTGTTCTAATTATAAGATACCATATAAGTCGCTTTAATTATAATAAAATGTTTGGAGCATTTAGAAACTTTTCTGTTGGTTTTGCCCTCCATTTGAAGTACTATTTTTAACCTTATATATTTACCAAAAAAAAAAAGAAGAGTAAAATTACACCTAAGTTCTAGGAAAGAGAATTTATTATTAAGATATTACATGAAATTCATAAAATACTCTAAAATCTCAAGTCTTATGTATTTACAATTTGATAAAGGATATTTACAATAAGGCATCGGGCATTTACAAGTTATAGTAAATTTTATGAAAAATCTTGATAATAAATTCTCTTCTATAAGAGCTAGGCGTAATTTTTCCAAAAAGAAATCCTCGCACATACTATTTAAGGAATTGTAAACAATGAACATGGCATGAAAACTATGCTAGTTTAGTGATATTTCTACATTGCTGATTATTCGAATTGCTTCCACTTTTTTATTTCTATTGTATAAATATTCTATTTTTCCATGGTATTTTTTTTCCTATAAAAATTCTAGAAGGCATTCTTGCTAATAGTAGGAGAAATTGAAAATACGGACTATATAATGAAATTTATTACAAATGCATTTCTGAAATTACTGTCAAGGGCCTTGATCCTTTTTTGGGAAAATTTTTTTCTCATGAATAAGATTGAGGGAATTAATAGCCTAGTTTTAATCGGTATGAAACTTCCCATATCAACTTAAATCTATTAATACTTAAATAACCTGACAATGTCGTTCTCAAGTATAAATCTATAAGCTCATTAAATTTATGAGTTTTTTTTCATTACTATTTATTAAGCCCAATTTATTCAACATGAGACTTACCACATATATCCACACACTTGTAGAACCCGGCAAAAACTTCTGGGAAGCATTGACCTCTGGCTTACCAATTAATAATAATTGGGTTGTATCGCAAAGAAAACGTGAAATTTCTACATCAGTGATTTTTCTTTGTTTCCTTTTTCAAAGTTTCCGTGGATGGAAATGAAATTAATGGCTGACAAAAAATTCGAGAAAGATTGTTAAAGAATTATATCTAAGTGTGTGGTGGCATTTGCAGGACGGAAGAAGAGTTCATGTGATTGAAAGAGACTTGAAAGAACCTGACAGGATTGTGGGTGAATTGTTACAGCCTGGAGGCTACTTGAAGTTAGTTCAATTGGGTCTTCAGGGTAAGATTGTAAAATTTATATGTGATTAGCTTCAAGTAATTATTAAGTTATAAATATTGCATTAATAATTCAAAAATTATAATTAATTTTAATAGTCAAACTTGTTACAAATTTTCAGGAATGTCATTACTGAAGTTTAATTAGGGAGAATGATATTAAAGGACCAAAAGATTGAATTAAATTTAAATAAACCAAAATATTTGAAAATACAAAAAAGGGTCAACGATCATTTAGTAAATTATAGTCTAAAAATATAATTTGTTTCTCTCATTTCATAATTTGCAACATTCAAAATAAGAATTTACAAGTGAAATTCACTCATTATTGCTAAAAAAAAACTTGTCAAACATATTAACGTTTTCAATAATTTGCTACTCAAACACCTTTATTTTCAATCATAACAATTTATTTGCAAATTTTTGTTTTCAGTGTTGCATAGTATGAAATATGATGAGAGTAACAAATTTTTATGTCAATTAATTCGGTCATTAAAAGATTTTTGGTCCTTAATTTAGGTTTTCAAATCTTTTGATCCTTATTTAAATTTAGTTGAATCTTTTGATCCTTTAAAGTCATTTCTCCTAAGAAGATTTACAGTTTTAAGTAATTTTGACTTTGCCAAAAAAAAAAAGACGGATATATGTTATGGAAAAATTTTGTTGCAAATTGTTTTGTGACAAATTCTGTAAAATTGATTCTATCTTTAATGAAAGCAAAACTTGAATTATGTTGCAATATCATGTGTTATAAATTTTATCAAACCTAATTATTTTATTTGGTCTCAGTACTATAAATTAAGCTTTATCTTATGTCTCAATACGAATGTGATAAGAGGAGGGGCGCGAGCTCATAAATTATAAATGTCATTTTATTTCTGTGATAACAAGTAATCAGGACTACGTACATGTGAAAGTTGAAAGAAAAATTGAAATGATAACAAATAGCATTTAATTAATTTGCAGATTGTGTGGATGAGATTGATTCTCAGAAAGTGCTTGGGTACGCACTGTACAAAGATGGGAGAAGCACCAAAATCCCATATCCTTTGGACAAGTTTGAGTCTGATGTCTCCGGCAGAAGCTTTCACAATGGCCGTTTCATACAGAGAATGCGACAAAAAGCTTCGTCTCTTCCAACGTACGTATGTGTGTACTGTTCCGCCTCCATCATTTCCCATCACAATCAATTAACACACACACGTACACTTTGATTCAATTCCATTAATTAATTTAAGTTAACTTTTGAAATTTGACGATATGGTTGCTCTGTTCAACTACTCTCTCCATATTATAATGTAAATTATTTTTTAAAAATTTAATTAATCTAAAATATAAAGCATTGAATAGGTATGATGTATTTTTTTCAATTGCATTCTTATTTTATTAAGTAATTAATGAAAGTATTTTTAAATAAGTTAAATGTCATATTTATTATTCTCAAAGGAACAATTAGAAAGGTGAGAAAATTTTTAAAAATCCAAAATTTTAACTATTTTTTTTTTGGAGATAAGTAAATTTATTAATAATAAGTTATATTGTGGTTTGCAGGAAGGAGTACATTGTATTAAGTATGCTACCTAAGTTGGTGGCATAATAAAAGGCACGCTCTCTAAGAAAATTTTATAACTTTCTAAAAATTCTATGCACAATTTTTTTTTTCATACTTTAGTTTTCCATATCCATGTGACACGACTATACATACCCAAAGATTTGTCTGTAAATATATAAAGCACATAATCAGATTGTATAATTTATATAGCTAACCCCACCTATATATTAAAATAAAACTTGTTGTTATTGTAATATTTTATTACTTATTTTAAAATGCTACAAGTACATTAATTATTTAACTATTTTTCATTTTTTGAAAGATGCATCTCAAGTATAATGTTAATTTTTGAGGTAATTTAACTTTTATTCTCTAAAGCTTCTCTCACTTGTCAATTTAGTCCTTAACATTGACTTATGAAAAAATTCAGTGCTTGTAATTATTAAGTTAAGTAATTACAAGGGCTGAGTTATTTTTATTCAAAAGTTTGGAATTAACTAAATTGATAATTTAAGGAAAGTTTAAGCACTAAAACTTAAACGTTTGCTTAAATTTTGCAGTGTGAAACTAGAACAAGGAACAGTGACATCCCTTGTAGAAGAAAAAGGAACAATCAAAGGAGTACACTACAAAACAAAGAGTGGACAAGAGCTCATTGCAAAGGCTCCCCTTACTATTGTTTGTGATGGCTGTTTCTCCAACTTGAGGCGTTCTCTTTGCAACCCTAAGGTATATATACATAATTCCTATACGTTGATATATTCTTTGATATTTATATCTCTATTCATACCCGTTTTTGAGGTAGAGTTAATATAACACAATATATATAGTTATATATGATGTTTAATCTCTTATTTATTACATTTATTGGCTCTTTAATTTCTATCCATATCAAAATGCCCCATCTTATTTGTTTTGTAAATTTCTATGGATAATTCATAACTGTTCACACACACACACACACATTACTTTATCAACTTTTTTGCCTGCTTTGACGAGGGTATTGAGTCGGTGGTCCCGGAGGATAACATAGTTTTTTAGTTCTTTACTTTCAAACCCCATTGTGGTTAAAAGGGGGGAAAAATGTGTGTGGGTTGTTGTGTGATGTATGTTGGATGCGTGAAATGCATGTGTGGGATCCTCTACCCATGTATGCTTCTCTTTTGCATCCCTTTATTTATCTCTTGTCTACTTGGAGGCCTTACAATTAGAAGTAAGAAATGGGCTGGCCAAGCTTTTGGGCTTAGCCTGTAAGCTCAATTATTTTGAAATCGATCATTTTTTTTAAAGCTTAACTCTTATTTATAAGATTTAGGGTCGAGCCTATGAGTAATTTTAAAGAACAAACATATATTCTAAAATTTAAATTTAATTTTAAAATTAAAAAATATTTAATTTTTTAGAGATAAAATAAAAACAAACCACCTAAGTTTGAGTTTATTTTTAAGGCTTATCAAAGCCAAGCTTCAAAGTTCAATTTTTTTTCTCTTAAAAATGCTGTTTTTTTTTAAATTTAAACTCTTATATCAATTTTTTAAATTTCTCAAGTTCAATTAGGCCCGATCCTTATTTTGAATTTTACTTATAATCAAGATTTTTTTAATAAAAAAGTGAAGTTATTATCAAATTTTGATCAAATAAATTTACGGTAGTTCCCTACAATATTATAAATACAAAATTATATGCCATTCGACAGTAGTTTTGGTTTTGAAAATTAATTACGATTTTTAAAATCTCACATTGATCAACTTCAATGATTTTTCAACATCATGCTCGTTTAATTTCTATCTAGCATTTTCCTCCTTTATTACCAACTTTTTTTTTGGGTATAATTATTTAGTTTTTTAGTAGAATTACCTGGTCCAAATTAAAACAATGAGCTTTTTTTTGGCATATTTTTTCCATATACTTAAGTTTCAAACCCTTGATTCGATTAATGGACGCAGGTTGATGTGCCGTCTCATTTTGTTGGCCTAGTGCTGGAGAACTGTGACCTTCCATATGCAAACCATGGGCATGTAATATTGGGCGATCCTTCTCCCATCTTATTCTATCCAATCAGTAGTACTGAGATTCGGTGTTTGGTCGACGTTCCCGGCCAAAAACTACCTTCCCTTGCTTCCGGTGACATGGCTCATTACTTGAAAACTGTAGTAGCTCCTCAGGTATATCATCAACTCTACACTATCAATTGCCTTCTCTTTTCCCAATTTTTTAATACCAACTAATTTTCAGAATTCACATTGGACCTCAACTAATCTAGATCAAGTCGGGATAATATAGGTGTAAAGCTCTCCCCAATTAACCGTATGATAGTCCCACATCATGTGATTAGAGAATTAATCACAATTATATAAGTGTATGGTGAATCGTTCTAAAGTACCTTATGTTATTTTTGTATAAGTGACAAACTTTAGTTTGTGATTAATGTGAAAAATTGATAAAAAAACGAAGGGAAGTAGAAGAAGAAGAAGAAACAACAAGAAGGAAAATATTAAATGTGTAATAATCTCACATTGTGTGATTAGAAAATTAATCACCATGGTGTATAAGTGTGTGGTGAATCTTTCTAAGGTAGCTTAAGTTATTTTAGTATAAATGATAAATCTTAATTTGTGATTAATTTAAAATTTAGTATCCCAAACGGAAACTAAACTTGAAATCTTGCTCAATGAATTAAACTATAACAAGTGGTGTGGTGGACCATATTGAACTTTGCGTTGTTGGTGTTGGCTTATTGCATTGTTTTTTCTTTGGAATTCAGATTCCACCGGAGTTGTATGATAAGTTCATAGAAGCGATAGAGAAAGGAAACATAAGAAGCATGCCAAACAAGAGCATGCCTGCGTCTCCTTATTCCACACCTGGTGCTCTTCTCATGGGAGATGCCTTCAACATGCGCCACCCTCTAACTGGTGGAGGCATGACCGTCGCCCTCTCCGACATCGTCGTTCTCAAGAATCTTCTCCGACCTCTACGTGATCTCCACGACGCCTCAGCTCTCTGCAAATATCTCGAATCTTTCTACACCCTTCGCAAGGTGATCGTCATTTTATGTTACTATGAAAAAAACTTAATAGAGAGCGCCCTTATCATGACATTTATAAGAACATAATCACCCTAAAAGATAAAGACAAAATTTATGGGCGCTCCAAAAAATTGAACCTACCAGAGTGCTTTATTGCAAAACACTCTAATATATTTGTTAGAAAATGTGATAGATGTACTTCTCATTTCCCTTTTAAAAAACATCTTTTTACCTACTACACAATGCATTACTAGAGTCAAACTTCTGCTGCAGTATCAAATTTGAGAGATCTATCAATGTGGCCCACACGCACACATGCACGTGCCCAAGAAAAATTTGAAAACTTAAGGGGCCATGGCGTGAAATCTCATTACAATATCTAAACTGAAGGGTGTTTGATTTGCAGCCAGTGGCATCAACAATAAACACACTTGCAGGTGCACTGTACAAGGTGTTCAGTGCATCACCAGATCCAGCAAGGAAGGAGATGAGACAAGCATGTTTTGATTACTTGAGCCTTGGAGGTGTTTTCTCTGAGGGACCAGTGGCCTTATTGTCTGGTCTAAACCCTAAACCTTTGACTTTGGTTCTTCACTTCTTTGCTGTTGCCATCTTTGGTGTTGGACGCCTGCTCTTCCCTTTCCCTTCACCACAACGCATTTGGATCGGTGCTCGATTGATTTTAGTGAGTTTTTTCTTTCCACTTCCTTCTTAATTATATACATACATGTTATTCCTTTGCTTTTATTTATCAGTCACCTTTACCATGTTTTATTGAAATTACCAGAAGAAAATTCAAAACTCATTAATTAACTTTGTCTAAAAGTTTAATAAATTTTCAACTCCATCAGTACTTGCTAAATTTATACACCCCCCACATGGATTTTATATTATGTTATCTATTGATAAATTAATTTTTAGTGTATAATAATATTTTTTTTAATTCCTTGTTATATGTCAGGCAGCGTCAGGTATCATATTCCCCATAATCAAGGCTGAAGGAGTGAGACAAATGTTCTTCCCTGCAGTTGTGCCTGCGTATTATAGAGCACCTCCTGTTCAACCATAGAATGTCACATCACGCAATACCTAATAAGGTTATTATATATTATGGAAAAAAAAAACATTGTGGTGGTGTATTTTTGCCCCTAGTTTAGAGGGAGATAAAACTGTAAAATTTTTAGGTAGAAAAGAGTTTTTTTTTTGAATAATTCATGTTAAAAAATAATGGTTAAATTATGCATAACTTACTGCTCAAGTTCGGGTTATTTGTAGATATTTAACCTTAGTAATCTTTAAAAGTTTACCATAAATTAAAGCTTCTAAATTTTTATATTTCTGTAAATAATCTTCTTGTGAATATGGCAAAGGATTTATATGCATGTGAGTAAATGCTTTTAAGGATCGAGGAGTTATCTATGCATAAGTTTGAAGGAGTTACTTCTTAATGTATTTTTTGAGGAGTTAAATATTTAAAAATATAAAATATTTTTAGTGTTTTAAGGTGTAATTAATGTTCTTTTTCCTAAAAATACCCTTAACAAATAAATTATTTAATATTTATTTTGAATGAAACACCCTATTAAATAAGAATAAATATAGAAAGAATATATAATGTGTTAGTTTGAAAATAATTAACTAGTTTATTAGGAAGTGATATTTAATTAAAAATGTCTTATATTTTTTAATACATGCAAAAAGGAAAAAAAGTTTAAGAGGTATTTCGTAGTATTTTTTTTTTGGCCAAAAGTATTTGGTAGTATAATTGCATCTGGTATTATATGAGAAGTGTTACATGTACTGTGTATATATGACCAGTCAAATTGAATTTGAACCATCTGTATCTTATTATTTTGGAATAAAATTTGAGATATTATTTTTATCTTGAATATATTGCAAAGTAAAACGATATGGATATTTCAAGTATGAATTTATATAAGAATAATAATTTAAACATGACATATATAAACATGAAAAATACTAATGTTGTGTTTGGATGTAGAGGGAGATTTATTAGATTTGGATTTAAATTTGAGCCAAATCTATTATTTGAATTCATAAAAATTTATGAGATTGAATTTGATGCAGATCCAAACCTAAATTCATATTTTATTAACATTTTCTTGTAATTCTAAATATCTTATACACTTTAGCAATTTGAAATGTCATACACTTAAACTATCTTGTTCTCTTGTTGAATATGAAATTGTTTGTTTGAGTTATTCTACTCGAAAAAAAAATTTAAATTTAAATTTATTAATCCAAATGCTACCCTAACTTATTCAAATTAAATTTCAGCACCTACCCAATGTCATTTATAACTCTTCACAACTAACTACCTACCCCAGATCAATATGTTATAAATCAATCAACCTTGTAGAGGGAGGACAACGGCCTTGATGTTGATGAATTTAATGAATCAAACAGTACTTGATTTAAAAATAAAAGCTTTACAAAGACTATCTATCTTTTTGGCTTCAGTCAAAGTATAATATAACTCAATATTCTCATCTTAATTAATATTAAATATAGAGAGAGAAAGGGTAATATTAAAATAAGCCTATTTAATGAAAACTTAATCTTCTCAAAGTGTCTTATATTTTGGGACGATAAATCTTTTTTAAAATGTCTTATAATTTAAGATGAAGGGAATACCACATACTACTTTTGTTGCCAAGGCCCAAAAAAAAAAAAAAACCGAAGTCAAAGAAGATTTCAAAACAAAATATACTTTAGTCACTAGATACACGAACTATTGAATCCTATAAAAGATACAGGAGGAGAACAAGCTCTCATTTTCCCTCCCTCCCTCCCTCTCCCTCTGTGTGTGTGTGTTTTTTTCCCCCTCCTTTTTCCTTCATCACTCATATATCAAAGTTTTCAACAGTTCTGATTTATTATTTTATAAAATGTTTCAATTATGTATTGATATTCTATTCTGATCTAAATTTTATAAAATTATTATTACTATTTTAAATAATAATATATAAATAAATTTAAACTGTTAAAATGTGATTTCTCTTTTAAAACTGAAAAATTTTATTAAAATATTTTACAAAGTGATTTTTTTCAATTTTTTAATGATAGTTTTAAATTGTTCAGATAAACATTTAACAATTTAAACTTAATTATATATTTTATCTAAAATTATAATAATAATTGGAATGGAGAGGTTACTCTCTCATAAAATGCCAATACCAATACATGTATTGGTTCATGACGGATTTAATTTGGTAAGTATCACAAATTCCCTCACTCAATGAATGTCTCATATAGCATGAACCAAAGAGATTGGCTCTGCACAGTCGCTTTTGATTATCCCAGGCCTACTTCAAAGCCATGTTACACGCTCATAACTCATCACCCAAACTATGAATCACAATGGACACGAATTCCATAAAAGCTTCCAAGCAATTTCCTCTATGATCTCTCATGATGCTACCTTTAGCATCCACCATACATTTGCTGATCGCCTTAGCTTGAACAAGGAGAGTACTGACAGACGAGTTCCTGTTCTCAAACAATCTGTCGTTTAATTAAATAAAATAAAACATAATTTTATGAACAACCTGTCATTTAATTGAATATGAGATCCCAAAAACTTCCAATTCAATGTTAAACAAACGACATATGCCAAACGATATTAAGTTATAAACGAGATTAAGTTATGCCATCCTACAATTTCAAATTCAAGTTCATCCTATAGAATTTTAAGCGATTTCAACACATTTTCTTACACTTTTTGATAAAATTGTACATACTTTTGATATATATATATATATATATATAAAATAAGAAAATGTGCATGTCTTATACTACTACAACTAAATTTCTTAGTAACATATATGAAATTTTCAAAACAGTATACTATACTTGGCATGAGAAAAAAGTAGAGGAGACAGTACATTTTGACTTACTTGGCAAAGGCAAGAAAAATGAGATGGAGAGGAAACTCAGGGAAAAATAACATGTTGGTCCCACATGTTTTCCCTCAAAATTTTCTTTTCAAATATAGAGAGATTTTAGGAAGAAAATTTTACTTCCAAATTTATCCATGAATATTTTTCATTTCTCGCCTCCTACCTCCTTCCATTTACATCCTTAAAAATATTTTCATTCCATTGATAATATATAACGAAAATGAAAATTATATTAATAATATGTTAAAATTTTAAGTTTTATTATATCTAATTATTTTCTACAAATAACAAGGTTACTATTGTCCATATGAAATTAATAAATTTTTTGTTCTACTGGATTTTTCTTGGTTAGCCAAGTCTAATGAGAGAAAATTGCATCTCTTCATTTAATTTCCTCTTCTCTCTGTTTTCTCTCATTTCTATTTGCTCTAGTTAATCAAGCACTACATAAATTCCCTGTGTGTGACTATTAAATTCCTTTAGTCTAAGTATTAAATTTCCTATATGTGACTATTAAGCAAGGGGATCGGAGTTATTTGTCTTGTGAGCATTTCAGTCATTACATTTTTTCTTCTTTTCAGTTGAAGACCTTGGTCTTTTAAAATAATTTTCTAAATTTAAGGTCCATATCCAGAAATAACTTATCATTTTAGTCCTTGAGCATAATTACCCCCTGTCAGTTGTAGATCGCACTTATAAATTTGTAAAATCTAAAATGATATGATATGATCTACGTAAATCAGTTTTAGGCGCATTTTGCTTTACTTAGTCAAAAGAAACATGATTCATATATTGAGATTTGAGATTTAAGGATTCAAGAAAAATAAAAAATTAATGACCATTTGCCCGATTCACATAGGCATTAGAGGATTCATAACCTTAAAAAGAAAAACTATAAATAAAATGTTATTGTTCATTCATAACCTCTATATAAGTACAATGTACTAAAAAACAAGTAAAGAACAGTGAACAAGAAATGTTGATAATTTTCATATGAGATTTTATCAGTATCAATTGGTTATACATCCCTTTCACTTTGCTCTATTTTGCTTCTCATCCTACTGACTAGTGTTCCCTCGTACTCCTGCGCTTCCCTTTCTCTGTGTAATAAGACAACGTAAGATTTCTACACCACGGTCCCCTGCAAATGTACAGATAATCCAAAAGGGAAAATTACATTTAGAGGATTGAAAAGTGTGTAAATCACAAATTAGGACCTTGATAATTAAAAAACATGCCCTCATTTGCCAATGACATTGCCACCATTACTACCGTTCCTGCCACCTTAATTGAATTCATAGCTACTAAGGTGTCAACAATTTAGTTGTCGGCAATACTATGCTTTGTAGTAGTTCTGAAAAAAGTGTTGACTAATACGTGAATAAGCATGAGTACCTTCAAATGTTTCCATTGGTCCCTACTTACCGTAATTGAATTCAGAAGGGTTGCCTATTTTATGTTTTACTTGATCAGACCAGACTAGAAATCTTTTGTCATTTAATTGCTTGGGAGTATAAACTATGCCACCTAGAAATTAAATTGTTCTAAAACTTGTTTATTATTCTAAACTGAATTCATGGCTACAAAGAACTTAAAACTGGATTAAAAACATTTCGCTACCCGCTTGAAATAACATTAATTAGATAGGTCATATATATGATGACCAATCATGCATTTCAAAAAGAATCCGTAAGGTGGGATAAGCAACAGATAAGTTTGATCTTTAATCAATCACCATCCACACATTTTCATTACTAGCTCTATGAATAGAACCCATGCAAGTTCCAATTTCCACACCACAGCGTCACTTTTTCTATCACATTTCAATGCTCTCAGTAGTTTACTCTGCAACCAGCGATATTAATGGAGATTGCCTTGCGTGCTCTGTTTTTCCTTCCCTTTGTCTTCTCCACACAACATCAAACCCTAACCCTAGCTGAAGACGTGCTAGACACCAATGGCGACCCTGTTGTGACTGGGAAGGCATATCACGTTCTGTACTCGACCAACACAATATTTAGAATTGGACTGGATCAAATCGAAAGCACATATTGTTGCCCAGTTCGTTGGTGGTGGGAATTAATCCCAAGCTTGTGTTTCTTAGGGTTCCATAGTCAGAAGAGATCAGTGAACCGATAACCACAGATAAAGCTGTGAATATTTCATTCGCTTTAGTTTCTAAGTGCGCTACATCTCCTTATATCTATGTTCTAGTTCATCATCAAGGAGATTATCCTTTGATGGTTGGTCCCCCACAGGGTGCTGAATCAATGGCTGATGATGGTTCATTTTGGATTAAGCAAGTTGCTGGCGAGACCAATGTGTACAATCTTGCCTTTAGAATAAAAAATATAGA